AAGTGGAATAGGGTTATCCCCATGCAAACCAAATGGTCTGAGGGTGGGGAAAGGAGAGTTGGGGTGCCTTTTCCAAAAGAGAGTAAAAGGGATGCTGAGTATGAAAAAACAGCAGCTATCCACTTCATTCCTTTAAAACATAGAAAGGCAGGGTGGTAGGGTGGAGAAGACCTGGGCTTGGCATCAAAAGGACTGGGTTCTAATTCTGGCTTTGGAAGTCATGGGATATTGGGCATATCACTTAACCAATTCCCACAGAGTTTGTTTCCTTTCTTATGAAATGGTGAAGTGAAGTGAAAGTCACTCAGTCATGTCCAGCTGTTTGGGATCCCATGAACTATACAGTCCATGGAATTCTCCAGGCCAGAATACTGGAATGGGTAGCCTTTCCCTTCTCCAGGGGATCTTCCCAACCCAGGGATTGAACCTAGGTCTCCCGCATTGCTGGCAGATTCTTTACCAGCTGAGCCACCAGGGAAACCCAGGCCAGAATACTGGAGTGGGTAGCCTATCTGTTCCCCAGCAGATCTTCCCAACCCAGGAATCGAACCAGGGTTTCTGTGTTGCAAGTGGATTCTTTACCAACTGAGCTACCAGGGAAGCCCTTATGAAATGGAGACGATTATTTTTCTTCCTCCCCCTCAGACTCATTAAAAGGAAAAATAAGATAATAAATGATGCTGGGAAGACCCAGAGGGATTGGGTGGAGAGGGAGGTGGGAGGGGGGACCGGGATGGGGAATACATGTAAAAAAAAAAAAAAAAAAGATACACTATGGTTGTGAAAAAAAAATAAATAAATAAAATGTATGATTTACTAAAAAAAAAAAAAAAGATAATAAATGAGAGTATGGTTTGGGAATTCTAAGTTTTTTACACCTGGGAGGTATTATTATTTTTTCTATTTTCCCAGTCAGTACCTTGTGCAGTGCCCTTACACATTGAAGTTTCCCCTTAAGTGTTTATTAATTGGCTGGTTCATGATATTGAAACTCACATCACTCCACGTACTTTTCTAAAACTTTATACAAGCAAAATGGTTTGGTGAACCATTCATTCAACAACTCTAGAAACATACAGAGCAAGCAGTCTTTTGATCTCATTTTTCAGACCCCAGTTTAAGTGCTACTTCCTCAGGGAAAACGTCATGGTTCATCCCCAGTCCCCCAGTCAGGGCAGGGCCCCCAACCTGTTTCACAATACCTAATACAATTCTAGTTTAACAGTTAATCATGAAACTCATGTTTAATATCTGTCTCCATCATTGGCCATGAACTCCATCATGTAGGTTGTTGTTGTGTTGTTTAGTCACTAAGTCGTGTCCGACTATTTTGCAACTCCAAGGACTGTAGCCTGCCAGGCTCCTTTGTCCATGGGATTACCCAGGCAAGAATAGTGGAGTGGATTGCCATTTCCTTCTCCAGGGGATCTTCCCAACCCAGGGATCAAACCCATGTCTCTTGCATTGGCAGGCAGAGTCTTTACCACTGAGCTAACCAGGGAAGCCTCCATTGTGCAGGTAACATGGCTATATTGTTTACTGTTGCATCCTATTGTGCATGGTACATAGCAGGAAATTAAGAAATATTTGTTCAATGAATGAGTAAATTTGTGAGAGTGGAACAAGATCAAGTGGACTATGAAACATACATTTAATTTCCCCTTTCTGTTCTAATATTTTTTTCAAGCCCTCCAGTGACCACATTGTGGAACCTCTACTAAGAGGAGAAAGAATGAGTAGTTGACTAAACCTATCTCTTTAAGGACACACAGTCAATGACTATTCAGAAATGAAATCCATTCATTCTGACTTATGCAAGCTACATCTCAAAAATTCAGAATAAATGTATTACAGCAATTACAAGGCCTGTAATCATTAATTTACTCTAGAGTAATAGTTCTAAATCTTACGCTGTGTATGTCCTGATATGTCCTAATGCTTCTCTCTGCCTCCAAACTATGTCAGAACCAAGCAGTTCATTCCTGGAAGAATATACGTAACTCCCAGCCAGAAATTTGATTAGAGTGGTTCAGAGCAGGGAAGGAGACTTAAGAGCCAAATTATTCCTTCTTAGCCGGCTCCACCCTAAATTTCATTTACATAATGCAGCTCTTAGTACAAATGAAAAAAAGTCAGCATCAGGAAAGACAAACTGAAATATGGCTTCCATACAAAAGGCAACCTTTCTTCTGTCAGTCTTATTGAGTAAGTGATCTTCTAAGTAACAGAATGTTTTAAAAAAATAGACATCAGTGTCCAGTTAGCTCATAAATCTCTGTTGTGTGCAGAATTTAACTTCTAATTTTGTAAAATACACATAAACAAAAAATTTACCATTTTAACCATTTGTAAGTGTACAATTCAGTAGTGTTAAGTACATTCACATTGTTGTGCACCCAGTCCCCAGAACTCTTCATCTCACAAAACAGAAATTCTATCCCCAGTAAACAACTCCCTCCCCCCCACTGCCCCGTCCCCTAGCCACCATCATTCTGTGTTCTGTCTCTATGAATTTGCCTTCTCTAAGTACTTCATTAAGTTTCCAGAATCATACAGTATTTGTCTTTTTGTGAGAAGTGTCCCCTTCCTTGAAGCCCCAAAGCAGGCCAGGCCTCTTAGTTGAAAGGGCTTGGAGTGGGAGGTCCAGGGTCTGCTCTTTCACTCTGCTTGCTCTCCAACAACCTGAAGTCGAGGTGGGAGACACAGTCTGGCTCTGAGATCCTCTGCATCACTCCCCTGTTTTCAAGGTTTGATTCCCATTGAGGGCTGGACTGGGGGATGGACCCAGCAGGTGCATTCTATGTAACTGTCCTGGTGATGGAAAGTCCTCTCTTCCTGGGTTGGCTAAAATGGTGCCTGGGGCCATTTTAGCACCAGCCAGATCCTCCAAGGGTTCCTTGAAGAGGAGCAGCCTTTGGCCCTTCTCCCTCTATCTCCAAGTCTTCTCCAGGAGGGGTGACTTTACTTGCCCAGGGGCCTCAGAGGCAACTACTGGCTCCTGCCTCCCACCAACCTCTGACAGCCTTCTCGTGGGACTGAAAATGAATGACTTTTTCCAGGCCCCAAAGGCTGAAGGGGACCATAGTGAGGCATCCCAATCCTTTCCTCAGGTACCCCACATTATCGCTCCTTCTCGTCTTGCTGCTCCAGAAACCTCCAAGTGGTTTGATATTTCAGATCCACTTGTTTATCACTAAAGTGAAGTTGTTTAAATCCACTTGTTTATGGCAAAGAAAAAAAAAGTTTTTTTTTTTTTTAAGAAATAAAGCAGTTTTTCTAGAAGAATGAAGTAAAGTTGTGTCAGGATGTCATTTTCTCATCTGTTGTGATCAAGAAACAGTCAATAGCTCAGCTGCTGAGGGGCCCCACTTGGGACTTATTAATAAAAATAGACTAAAAAGCAACTATTGTGAGGAAAAATACAGACAGTAAGTACCTAGAGTTTGTGAGGATTGTCCAAGAGTTTCCACCTGGGCATGGTGAGTCTTCACTGACCTAAACAATTCTCTGAAGACCCTGGGGCATTATGCTCCTGCTGGGGTAAAAGTGACTCTCACCACAGTGGTGAAAGCTGTGCAGCAGCCTCACAAAGATCACTTTGCCCCTCACACTGGGCTTCATTCCCTCACAACATACTCTATCATCAGGGGACTTCTTACTTTCCTTTAGCTACCAGCTAGACATCAGCTGGTGGTTGGCTAAGCCAACTCTCTTGAGAACCAACCTCATAGGAAAGATACACTTCAACTGAATTTGGACTTTATGTCTCCTATCTCCCCTTGCCTGGAACAACAGTGTAATCAATCTATCATTTACAGTAGGTTATTTCTTTATTGGCTTATTAAGAGACACATCCTGTATGCTATTGGCTTGTGAAATTATAATTCTCAGTAAACCTAGATGTCTATCTCTGTGTCCATCTCTCTCTCAATATCTCTTCCTGAATGGGTACACAAGAAATTGGTACCAGTAATTGCTTAAAGTACAGAGTTAGGGGTCAATGAGAGATTTACTTTTCACTATTTATCTTTTTATATTGTTTGAATAGTATTTTCTTAGGGTATATATATATGCAATGAATTCCAAAACGCTTTATAAATCATACAGCATTCTACAATTATTAGGGTTTTACTATTACTAGTATTTACTAAGGCTTCCCAGGTGACACTAGTGGTAAAGAACCCGCCTGCCAATGTAGGAGACATAAGAGACACAACGATTCCTTCCATGCCTGGGTTGGGAAGAGTCCCCTGGAGGAAGGCATGGCAACCCACTCCAGTATTCTTACCTGGAGCATCCCATGGATAGAGGAGCCTGGTAAGCTATAGTCCATAGGGTCACAAGGAGTTGGACAGGACTGAAGAAACTTGGCATGCTGGCAAGCACCAGCAACAACATCTCAAACATTTAGTCTTTGTGAAAATTTGAATGAGTTAACTTAGTACTACATATGTTAGAATATGAGGCCTTTTTTTTCTTTTTAAAGTCACTCTTTGGCATATTTAACGACGTTGGAAAAATACTCAAGGTGAAAAATATAAAAATTGTACAAGTGTCTGATTCTAATTTTGTGTGTTCCCCGTGTAAACATAATATATAAAGAGACCGGAAAGAACCATCCACAATGCTTTGGTGGGGAGAAGGGAGACATCGTGTTAATTTTCCTAATTATATTTTCCGATATATACCACATTTTTTACAGCCAATTAACAAATGCTATTTGGAAAGAAAAAAATCACAATTAAACCTTAAAACTTGGCCAGAAATGAATTTTTTAAAATTTCGTTAGAATGACTTGTTGCAGACCGGAAAGACATATGGCAGCAATCAAGAATAGTACTAAGGGAAGACTGGAACCCTCTTTCCAGGCCCGGAAGTCCATTACAAACTACAAGGAGAGGCAAGCGAGATGCTGGCCTCCACTACGGCTAGAGCGACCACGAAAAAACACAGGAACTTCCGGGGCGGAGCTCTCTGTTCCTTTCCCTTCCTTGAGGGAAATGTGGGCTGCTGGCACATTGAAAGTTCGCGATTGCTTGGCTGCTACTTCCGTCACTCTGAGACGGTGCTTGAAATTGGTAGCGACTATGGCAAAGAGCAAATTCGAGTACGTGCGGGACTTCGAGGCTGACGACACATGCCTGCCCCACTGCTGGGTGGTGGTACGGCTGGACGGCAGGAATTTCCATCGGTGAGCGAGCTCGGCCCGGGGCTGCGTGCTTCGCAGGCGTTTCCGGTGAACCCGGCCCCTCGGTAGCAGCCCGCAGCTCGTGGTTACCGTGGTAACGCGGCAGCCAATGACTGCGCGGCTTTAAGCATCACGCTGTGTGCTGTCTACAACTGGCTTGAACGCGAGTAGTCCGGATAGTTAAAAATGAGACAGGGTGCTCCCCTGGTGAGGAGCTGGCCTGAGGTGTCCATTGGCAAGGCTGTAGTGGAAGAAGTCACTCTTGGGCGCATTATTTCAGCTCTTCAACCGATGGCCAAACTGGTTGTTAGGTATCTTTGAGGGCTTACTGTTCAGCGGCCTGTTTAGGGCTTGCTGTGGGCAACGCTATGCAGAGTATATTCTTGTTTCATTATAAGTAACAGAGTACATGGACTGGATTCAGAGGGAGAAAGTCAGAAAAAAAGTAACAGAAAGATGGGAATTTCTTTAAAAATGCTACTTTGGTAATGATTACTGTAGTTAAAATTTATTGAGCAGTCCAAGGAACCAGGCATAGTTATGTTTGTTACCTCCCTCTAACCTTCAGGACAATCCTATGAAGTAAATTTATCCCCATTTCACAGAAAAGGGAGTGGAGGATTAGTATATATGTTCTTTTTTCTCAGTTGATCAGAGCTAAAAAAAAAAAAAAAAAAAAACCCTGGAGTTCTTAACGAAATGGGTTGGGTTGTGGCTCCTGGAATGTTTGGACTCGCAGCACTATTACAGTGTCTTCCTGTATGAACAGCCTGTTTAATCTGTGGTATTACTGACAAGGTCTCTTGCAGCCATGCCCTTTTCCCTTTTCTTTTTCCCATATGAAGGTTTGCTGAGAAACACAGCTTTATAAAACCTAATGACAGCCGTGCTCTTCATCTAATGACCAAATGTGCCCAAACTGTAATGAACGAACTGGAGGATATTGTGATTGCATATGGACAGAGTGATGAGTACAGCTTTGTGTTCAAGCGAAAAAGCAATTGGTTTAAAAGAAGAGCCAGGTAATTCTGTGGCCTAGCTCCTTCAGAAAATTTCCTGCCAGCATCTGGTTTCTGCTTGGGCTTCCCTGGTGGCTCAGCTGGTAAAGAATCTGCCTGCAATGCGGGATACCTGGGTTCAATCCCTGGGTCGGGAAGATCCCCTGGAGAACGGAAAGGCTAACACTCCAGTATTCTGGCCTGGAGAATTCCTTGGACTATATAGTCTATGAGGTCGCAAAGAGTCAGACAGGACTGAGTATCTTTCACTTTCACTTTCAAGTTTTAATCATAAACTTACAGACTGTAGTATTTGCAACTGCAGAGTGTGTGTGTGTGTATGTCTATATGTGTATATGTACACACACACACACACATCGATACGCTGATAATATGTATAGAAGTTTAGACTTGTACTTCCATCTTATGTGGGCATTCTATATGCTTCTTTATTCTTTTTCTTCCATTTCACATCACCTTAGCTTCTAAACTGAACATTAAAACTAGAAACAGAAACTAAACTTTTAAGTAAGGAGGATCTCAATACAAATTAGACAAATCTCATATTTAATTTGGCAGTATGTTGAAACTTTCACAGAAAACAGGTCATGTAATGAATCGGTGTGTTTTTAAAACAGTGGTTCCCCCTCTTCCCAAGACCTGAAGAAAATCCTCTTGAACCATCAATTCACATCACATCCTATAGAAAAACATTTGATAATAGTAAACTACTTTATAGGACTAGAAAGAGAGGCAGACTGCATTTTAAATATATAACAAATATTAAAATAGTTTTTCTTGACTCAATTTATATTATCTCTTGGCTCTCCAGGCAGTTTGTGTTATCACTGTGTTGCACCCACATACCCTGTCATGGCGTTGAATTAATATCATGTATTTTTTCTTTTCTTGCTCTACCCAACCGACCTTCTGCAAGTAAGTTTATGACTCACGTGGTTTCCCAGTTCGCCTCCAGCTATGTGTTTTATTGGCGGGATTATTTTGAGGACCAGCCCCTTCTGTATCCCCCAGGGTTTGATGGAAGAGTCGTGGTGTATCCTAGCAACCAGACTCTAAAGGACTATCTCAGCTGGCGGCAAGCAGATTGTAAGTGAAACCAAATAAACAGATGTATTAATGGTTACATCACTAATTTCGCTGTATTAGAGGTGATGCTCTGAAATAGTTTTGGTTCATGTGTATTTTGTTTGGAATGCAGTATTTCAGGTTTTTAAAATTAGTTGAAAATATTTGAAAAATTGGGTATTTTATTTAAATATTCCTTATTTTTAGCTTTTTTTTTTTTTAATCAGAAGATCTGGCAATACTAAGTCTGTATTTCCACTTAGTATTGGTCAGACCCTGCATAGTGACTTCTGCCTTTATACACAAAGACACATACACACACACGTGCACACACATGTGCGTGTACACAGGAGCCAGTGTGCCTCAGCCTCTGCTTCTCTGTTGTTCCTCTGGTCACCTGCTCTGCTTTCCACACTTAGGTTCATGCTGGCTTTAGTGGGTATTTGAGTTGTGACCCTGCCTTACATGATGAAATATTTGTGAGACTTTCACTCATTTGATGTGTCTTGATTTTTCCAGAAGAATTGGAAAAGAGGTGGGACTAATACAAATCAAATAACTTTGAAAGTATTCCTTAGCTTAATGCACAAGTTAACAGACTTGTGTGAAGCACAGCTGGAACAACAGGATAAAACTGTTAGAAAATAAGTTTTTTTTTCTTGCTTCACTGCTTCCTTGTATATTCCCTGTGTGTGATTTTTGGCAGGCAACTAAATGTTTCTGAGGTCTCTCTACTTTAAAGAGGAAAGAAATTGGGCTCCAGTACTCTTTGAAGGGTGGATATTAAAAAAAGGTTGTATATCCCTACACAGTGTTACTCTGTTTTTCTTGCAGGTCACATCAATAATCTTTATAACACGGTGTTCTGGGCACTTGTGCAGCAGTCTGGCTTAACACCATTACAAGCCCAAGAGAGATTACAGGTATATTGATCTTACTGCATTAAGACTTCAGGGCAGACAGTTTATGATCTCTCGTGACATTCTGCCTTCTTTTTAAGCTCTTAAGTTTTTACAGCTTTGTTTTGAAAAGATAGAAAGATCCCAATAGTAGCATGTCTTCTGCTTGCTTGCTCTGTGACTGTGGGTAAGTTGTTAACCACTCCCTGAGCCTCAGCGTCCTCTGCTGGAAGATGGAATTAATGGCTCTGCACTCCCCACACGGTGATGCTTGACTGGAGCTGCATATCGGCTGCCCCCTCTACAGTGCACGTGGCTCGTCTTTTCTGTCAGCCCCACCCGGCTGCTTCATCATTGTCATTCCCTGCTGGGGACCTGGAGTTTGGGGTTAGGACTCTTGTGTATCAACAAGACTTCAGACTCCGGGGAGTCAAATAATTGTACTCAGATGTTTTTGTTGAATTTTACCTCTCTGCCTTAGTTTTTCATAGGTAAAATGTGGAAAGTAATAGTTGCTACCTTACAGGTTTATAGTGAGAATTTTAAGTGGCATGAGGCCTGTAAAACACAGATAGACTAGTGCAAAGCACACTGTAAGTAACTAGTAAATACTTTTATTATTAGATGCTATTTTATTATTAGATGCTACTTGCAGGTAAACTGTGAAATGAGATGATGTGTTGTAATAACTCCTAATACAATGCCTGGTACATTATAATGACTCAGTAAGTGGTTGTCATTATTAACAACAGTGATAAAGATGTGTAGCAATAATAGGAAGACTGGTAGATGTAGCCCGAGTTTGGAAGCACTGAATTTAGATTTTGATTCTTATTCTTAAGCATAAGAGCACCATTGGCCTTGGAAAATTTACATAATCTTTCTAAGCTTCTGAGCTCTCATCTCTAAAATGGAGATGGTTATGAGGGTCAAATAAAATATACAAACTATCCAGTACACAATCAGTACTCTTAACTATTAGTGCCTGTCTCCATCACAATAGTGATTGGCAAAGCCAGTTACTTGCTACAGAAGAGAACTTTATGGATTTTTGTATTTAAATAAGATTTGAACTGCTCTTAAAATTCATTAATACCTATATGATATTTGATGAAATGCTTCCACTTCTTGATTTGTTGCTAGAAGTTTAGATAAGAGAGTGGAATGGATAAGTGGGGCTAGGGGAGAGAAGAGACCTACAAAGCTTTTTATATTTGTTTTTATTTCTTCAGGGAACTCTTGCAGCAGACAAGAATGAGATTTTATTTTCTGAATTCAACATCAACTACAATAATGAGCCACTGATGTATAGGAAGGGGACTGTGTTGATATGGCAGAAGGTAATGCTGTTATGTCTAAGGGAAAACGAAGGTCAGAAAGAAAGCCTGCGCCCAGCCCACGCTTTGTCTTTCCTGCTGCCTGTGTGCTGATGTGACTCTAGTCACTCGCACAGATTAGACTTTTTCCAAAACGAGATGCTATAGATTATTATTATGGATAATGGCTTTGTCAGTTCATCAGTCAAGTTTGTGATCTGGACTCCCCCCTTCTATAAGTAGAATTGCAGAATTTTAGAATTTATTTTTTTGTGTCATAAACTCTCCCCAAATAAAATCAAACCCCTTTAACAGGTACAGTGCCGACAAGAGAATTTTTGCATTCAAAGAACATTTTTAAAAAATCCCACACTGGACCATTAAATGGCTCACCCATCCCATGAGAACTATAATTTGAGGAACTGATGTTGTATGTGAAGGTTCTTTCCCTTACAGAATGTTTGAGAGGTTCTCTGGACAGTCATAGTTAACTTAATATTGTGTCTCCTTTCATCTAAATCCTTAATTCTACCAATATTTTCTCTCTGATCCAGCTCCTGGGCATAATGATGTCTCTAAATTTATTTCCTTCTATCTAAAGTATTTTTTTCTGAAATGAATGTTTTTAAGTATTACAGGAGTAAGTATCCTAAGAGCTCAGGATCTCACTGACAACTTCAGCGCTTTTATTAGTATTTTTAAAGTATTTGTTCTTTGGACTCGAAGGTGGGAAAGCAGAAATATCTTTAATTCTATGGTTATTGCTCACAAGGAACATAGAGTCCCTTCTGTGTTCCTAAGATCTCCTCTCAAAATAGAGCAGCATAACTGTTTAAAAAGTATTTTTAGTTGTAAAGAAATTCAGGTATGGTAAGATATGTATCTGCCTGAAAATATGTATTTGTCAGAGGTATTGGATTGGCTAAAAGTTTATTTGGGTTTTTCGAAAAACCCAAATGGATGTTTTGGCCAACCAAATACATAGCTCACTTCTCCGTCTTCAATGTCCCAAAGCTACTGTCTAGTTAACAATGTCAATATTTTAACTTTACCTATAGGTGGAGGAAATCACAACAAAAGAAGTTAAGCTGCCAGCAGAAATGGAAGGAAAAAAGATGGCGGTGACCCGGACCAGGACTGTGGTGGTGCCCTTACACTGCAATATCATTGGGGATGCTTTCTGGAAGGAACATCCAGAAATCCTAGATGAAGACAGCTGACCCTTTGCTTTTCAGTCCTGGCATGCTTAACCATCTCGGCCCCCAAGTCTCCTGACTTTTGGTGGCCCTAGCATCTGTGCCATGCAGGTGTCCCGGGAATGACATGACTCTGGTTGGGAGGGGAGCGGAGAGAAAAGGGTTGGATGTGGGTGGTATATCTTATTCTGCTTTAAGTGGAACACCTTTTTTGCAGTGTTGAAACATGGTTCCTTTGGTAGAAGTGCATTTTTTTAAAAAAATTGCGGTACTATTTTTATAAAGCAAGAACTATGTTATGCCTTGTAGATGAATCATTTTTAGATTGTGGCATGGGTCTTACAAAAACTTGTCAAGCTTTTTTCACCTCTTCTAGAAGATGAGCCCAAACTTCACTGTCGCCGGCTTGTTCTTTACCACAGAATCCAGTGACCTCGGTAACCTCACCTTTCCCACCAACCTAATTGCATTCATCTTTGGCAGACCTGGAGCTAGTATAGGTTGATGCCTTCCCAGTGCCTCTGAATGCAGGAATTCCAGGGCAAACTCAGGGCTTTGTGCCATTATCCAAGTTGGCAACCTGGGCTGAACTAACGAGTTGTAGCTTGGGTGTCCTTGCATAAATATTTCGTGGACTGATTTTGTGGAGTTGTCAGCATGATCCTCATCATCTCACCAGGGGCAGTGATCACAAGGCTGCTTACTCTTTCTCAGGAGAAAGAGAGTTACATGTCTATATGGGAGAAGGAAAACGTGAGAATGAATGAGCCAGGAGGAAGATACTCTCTGTCGTCTTGGCACTTCAGTTTTGAACGTCACCTTCCTGTTGGACGTCCTGAAAAAGATTCTCAGGTAGCCTCTGTACAGTAAAACAACGACATTTGACTTGGAGAGCAGAGGGACCAACACTCATCTTTGGGTCACAGGCAGTGGAGGAGCCCTAATGGTTCTACCTGCTGATGTGCAGCCAGGTGAGGAGCCACAGGAAGCGCGTGTTGCTCGTGGCCTCCGAAGTGAGGAGGCAGTGGGGACGGGGTAGAGAACTCACATTTCCTTTTATGTTCATTCCATATTTTAGAGGAAAAAGATTAATTTGGCTCTGTAAAGAATTAATTAAAAGCCCACATCACAGTGCCTGGTCTCACACTGTAGAATTTACAGCCAAGAAAATGTATTTTTGAAAGAGCGATGGCTGGTCTCATCTCACTAATTGACACCCCATCTGTTGATGCCTTTTTCCCCCTCCCTGTTCTCACTCCACGGGAGTTGGAGACACGGCTTACAGTTGGTAATTGATAAAATTTCTTTGAGAAGAAAAAAAATAAAGGTTTCAACTCCCTTGGCCTAAATTTTCAGTTATTTTTTTCATACAAATGCAGTATATGAGTCCAACTTTAATGTGTGAACGTCCTTACATAAGCCAGGCTCACATCCCTTCATCACAGTGGTGGTTCACAGACTTCTGGATGCAAAAATTTACTTGAAATGCTCATTTAAAATGCCAGTTCCAGGCTCTCTCCCCATGAAGTTTGGGATTCAAAGACTTTTGATGGGTGTGGTCAATATGCCACACTTTGGGTAACTAGTCTATACCAAAACCTAGACTGTACATCGAGGTACACTGTGATAGGCCAAGTGAGGCAGTGAGAATGATGTAGCTCTTGATTGGCAAACATAACGGTAAATAAATTACAGCATCCTATATCAAAACAAGTATAGATAAGTAGGTGTTTGTACAAATTTTTTAGACGCCACCCAAGAAAGTTTTGTGTTTTCTGTTGGTGTTATGTGATACTACAAAGGTATCACTTGATATTGTTAGAAGATAGGAGGACATGTGCTTGCTGGTTTGCAGCAGTTTGCAAGAGTGAGGTTTGTCTTGGGGAGGGTGGTTTTGAGCAAAGGAATATCCTGGGTTTAATATTTACACTGTAATCATACCTATTAAGTAATGCTGTCAGAAGCAGTGTTGGATGGGACTTCTCTGGCTGTCCAGTGGTTAAGACTCTGGGTTCCCAGTGCAGAGGACACGTGTTTGATCTTGCATGCTACATGGCCTGCCCCCTCCCCCCCACCCCCCAAGTACTGTTGGCTGGTTTGTCATCTTTATTTTGCAGTATGTCTTTATTCTAAAGTATACTTCACAGTTGTATATTAATTTTCATCCTCTCTTAAGAGACTAGTATTTTCTTGGACTTCCTTTCCAAAGCGTAAGGAAACTTTAAAATACACACGGAAGCCACTAGTATAGAGTTTATGCCAGTGGATTGCCCTTTGGGAAAGGGGTGACAGGAAAGGGATTCTTGTGACCTCTAGGTGACGGAAGACATCTTGGTTCTACTGGTTGAGGGCCTTTGATGTAGACTACACTATTATTTTAACATCAAGAAACAAGGTTCTGCTAAACAGAGGCTCTAAAGTACAGCCAGGTTTTATAAATATGCCATCCCAGTTGTGGGATCCTCCTTTCCTCCAGGTGCTTAGCAATACTTAGAAGAACAGTGATGGGGAATTTTCTTTAATACTAGCATCTTTCTGGTGTATGTGTAAATTTCTTTTTGCCTAGGTGTAAGAAATACAGTACTAGGGGCCACTCATCATCCTTCACTTTCATTGTACACTTAATGTTAACATTCGTAGAGCATTTATTACACCCCATATGCATATGCATATCTTTCGCTCTTCAAACAGTTTCTTGAAACCGTTTCTAGCAGAGGCAGACACGACTGAATGAACTGAACTGATCATATCTCAAAAGAGAATGTAAAGCTCAGAGAAGCTAAATAGTTGGAGCCCAGGCGTCTGAACTCCAGTGATACAGAGCATAAGAACAAATTGGGACATTCCTTGCCCTCTTCCTGGGCTTCCCTGATAGCTCAGTTGGTAAAGAATCCACCTACAATGCAGGAGACCCCAGAATCCACCTACAATGCAGGAGACCCCCGTTGGATTCCTGGGTTGGGAAGATCCGCTGCAGAAGGGATAGGCTACCCACTCCAGCATTCTTGGGTTTCCCTTGTGGCTCAGCTGGTAAGGAATCTGCCCACAATGAGGGAGGCCTGGGTTCGATCCCTGGGTTGGGAAGATCCTCTGGAGAAGGGAAAGGCTACCCACTCCAGTATTCTGGCCTGGAGAATTCAGTCCGTGGGGTCGCAAAGTGTCGGACGCGACGCAGCGACTTTCACTTTCACTTTGCCCTCTTGCCACTGCTTCCCGCCAGCTCAAGCTACTAGTAGACCATAATTCCAGAGAACCGAGAAACACCTGGGGAGCTTGTCAAGCTGACGGTCCCGGGCTCCATTCCCACCTGGACTATCAGCAAACACCTAAAGTGATAATGATATTGATGGGAAAACGTGCGTTAACGCAAATGAACCTCTTCCCCCGAACGCTGATGCGCTCCGAGCCCCGGGCGAAGAGCTGCCGCGCACCACACCCCTGGCGGCGCAGAGCGCAGGCAGACGCTGCCCCCTGGCGGCCGCCCCAGCGCAGTGAGACCCTGCGCCGCGGCTGCGCAGTGACGCCCTCTGGCGGCCCCACTCCTTCTTCCCATCGGCCTCGGCTTGCGGGCCTTTCAAACATGGAGGAGCGGGAGCGGGGGGCGAGGTCGGCTCGCGCTGGGAGCCCCACGCGCCCGCCCAGCCCGCGGCTGGATGTCAGCTCTGACAGCTTCGACCCGCTGCTGGCCCTGTATGCGCCCCGCCTGCCTCCCATTCCTTACCCCAACGCGCCCTGCTTCAATAACGTGGCCGAGTACGAGAGCTTCCTCAGGACCGGGTTACGGAGCGGCGGGCGCGGGCGGGCGCGGGGCGCGGCCGCTGGCTCAGGGGGCCCCGCTGCGGCGGCCGGGCCCTCGGGCCGGACCCGCCGCCGCCCGGACGCCCCCGCCCCGGACCCCGAGCGCATCCAGCGCCTCCGCCGCCTCATGGTGGCCAAAGAGGAAGGGGACGAGGCCGCCGAGGCGCGGCGGCGGGGTCCGGGTCGGAACAGGAAGGCGCCGCGCAACGTGCTCACGAGAATGCCCTGTGAGTCCCGCGGGCGGGGCGGGGGCCGGGCCGGCTGTCCGGAAGGCGGCGGCCCTGCAGGCGTGTGCCGGGTGACAGCCGCTCGGCGCGCACCTGTGTGTGTATCAGGGGGAGGGTCTTGGTGAAGGCTGAAGAGATAACCAGCGACCGTGGGGAGGTCAGCTTGAGGAATTCACGGTCTGTATGGGCAGTGAGCGAAGAGTGGCAAGGCTCTAGAGGTAATAAGTAGCCATGGGTAGGGTCTGCTTGGATAACATGCATAAAGGTGATGGGGGCCACAGAAGTGGCCATAGAGGTGATGAGGAACCTGCTGAAATCGGTCTGCAGGAGTGACTGGGGGGTGGGGGGTGCCCGGGGGATTCTGGAGAGGTGGTGAGCCTGGAAACGGGACATCATGGGGAGGATTTGCAGAGGTGATGAAGTCTTGGGGCCACTCATGGTGAGAGGAGGGAGGGCACAGCCAGTATTAGGGGAGGGAGAGTGGTTTGGTCAGTGAGATTTGTGGGTGATGGGACCCAGTATGAGGAAATTGTTCAGATAGCACAGGGGACATAATCTCATGACCTCTGCACATTAAGTGACAGCTTCGTTCTCAGTGCTGTAAGCAGAAAGGGCTGCAGGGTCTTGACATACATATGTTCACTGGAATGCAGCAGGCGCAGAAGGCCACTAAAGGGCAGACACTTTTACAGCCTCTCTGCCGGCTGAGTGCAGGGACTTTTGTCTGTCAGGCTCCTATTACCATATGCACAGGTTATTTTGAGTTCTGAAGGTGTAAATGGCACGAGGGGATTTCTTGCAGCCTCCTAATAGTTCCTTAGAGTAAAGCTATAAATAGCAGAGATTGCTAACGTGTGAATTAGGTCTTGTATAAACGGAATAGAAACAGCCCAGGGTCATATCTTCGTCGTCTGGCAAGCAGTTCTGACATCTGCCCCATGAACACAATGACCTACTTAGCCATTCAGAGCATCTGTATCCTGATAGCTAAATTGTGGC